TCTCAAAATAAAATAATTATATTTTCTGGAAGTTACTTTATAAATAATAAATATTTAGTGAAGAATTAAATTAATAACAAATGTGTTAACCTGGATGGACATATATTAACCTTGAACCAGCTTGAATTTCAACCTTCAGCCATTTAGTATTCTTGATCTTGACATTTGGAGTTTGTAAAAAAAGATCTGTTTTTTCCTTCCGTACCTGGGGTGTAGAACCACATGGTTTCAATTTTGGATTTTCTGGAAGTTATACTGTGAATTTTGATTATAATTGCGAAGTTGCATTATGATCACTCTTGGCAGAGCTGTCTGACGGGATTTAATTTTCACAATTTGTAAACTCTGCTCTGATCTCCTTTTATAGCAGTCTCAAAACTCATCTAGGCCACACAGTAACAAAGGTTAGTACTGTCTTTATTCTACAATCAATTTAAAATGGGTTTGTAGACTTAAACGTCTTACCTGAAATTGGTGTTTACCTATACTAGTATAAATATATACCCAAGTACAAAATATTTAAGGGATAAATGAAAACACGAATTTATTCTATAAATTTATATAATTCTCGTTAGTAGTAGGTAGCCTCAAAGTATGAAAAGTTCAATGTCTGATCTTTCTACAGGGTGTTTCCAAAAGTGGCTCACTTCTGTAATTTTTTTATTTTTTCAGATAACGAGATTTGGTATGTTAGTATATGACGGATTCTCAATTGTTTTCGGTCACTTCCTGTTTCACAGAAACGACTACAATTTTTGACTTTTAAACGACACCCTCGATCACTGCTGTTCTTTAAAAGATCAGCCTGGGGGCGGACTTTTGTTTACTTCATCAGCTGTACATACTTAGATATTGCGTTAGATTCCGTTTCATATTTTGTCGGTTGATTTTTGGTTTTAACTCTTTGATTTTTGGTATTATTTATTATTGTAGTGTAAAAAACTAATTACTTTGGTATTTAAGTGACATAAACTACTACCAGATATATGGTCACTCTCGGTTTCGCATAAAAAAATAGAAAAATTGAAAAATTACACGTTGTGTAAGTGATTTAACCTAAAAGTGCCCACACATTTTTTACTTATCGTGATTTTTGTGTGTGTTTATTAAGACTCTAACAATTCATCAATAAAGCTTAATTGGAGTGTGTTTTTGTGTTTTTGGTGCTATGCCTCATCTTTGTTGTGTTCCTGGTGGAAAGGATAGTTATACTAGGCAGCCTAAAGTGTCCGGAAGAGCAAGAAAAGTGGGTACGAGTTATAAATCAAGAGAATTCTATTGAAAATATCTTTAATAAATTTAAAAATAATATTCTCCCATGATGCTATTAATGAAAACTGGACAATTATGTTTATTTTATTCATATTGTGGAATCTCCACTCCAAGTGTTGTTGGTTCAGCTTCGATAGATTCAAACACGTAAGTAGGTATTATGATCTAGGGAAAAATAAAGAATATGTGTATTAAAGATCATGAAAAAGATTATTATTTTGAGTTCAAATTTTAAAAAAGATTTTTGTAAAGACAAGCCTGATACAGTTTAAAAGAAGAATGTGTTTTTGTTTGATAATAGGTATATAATGTATGTCAAGCATAACATATATTTGTTCAGTAATTTTTAATGAAAAGTGTTGATTATTTATAATATCAAATATTTAAGTGATGGCTGAATACAATATGAATAAAATAACAATAAAATTGGTATATTTGCATAATACAAAATTAAGTTTTAAGAATAAAGGTGTTACTAAAAATACTAAGAAATTCATATTTCTTTGTTTTAATTGGTCTAATGTTATTTACATTTTACGTAAGAATTATACCGTATCATCGAAAAAAATCGGCGTCTAGTTGGCTTGGAAATGAACATCGATGACATTCCCTAAATAACTGTACACATAAAATAATTACCTAACTAGAATTTTACAATCTTGGAAAATTTGATATTCTTGAACCTTGTATCTAAATATTCTAAATTTTTTGATTTTCTTGGGATTTAGGTTCGGGAAAAACGCTGATTAAGTTTTCATTTGGTTTTTCATTATTTTTATTTGGTTAAAAAAAAAACGTTTCGGCTAACATGTGTGATATGAAAAAAATGTGTCATATGAAAAAAATAGTGTCGAATATAATCCAAAAAATTACATATAAAATATTCACACCACGCACATAATGTTTACTGCGTACTCCATAGTCAATGTAGATAATTTTAGTGTTAAGAATAATAATTTTAAAAAATATGTGGTCATCTTTTGATAAGTTTATATTAGTTTATTAATTGCAGTAAAAATTATGAGGTGTGAATTATATTGTATATGTAATTTTTGGATTATATTCGACACTATTTTCTCATATGACACAACACTGATGAAGGCTATAGTTAGCCGAAACGTTTTTTTAAACCAAATAAAAATAATGAAAACCCAAATGAAAACTTAAATCAGCGTTTTTCCCGAACCTAAAAATCCCAAGAAAATCAAAAAATTTTAGAATAATTTTATATAAAATGCCAGCGATCTTCATTTCATAGCCATCGCTGACGCTTTTTTAGATAATATTGTATTATTTGTAAATATAACTTTTCGAACATTGGTACTTGCAAAATATACATATAAATTTTGTGAATGCAAATAATAATACATCACTATTAGTAGATATTGAATGTTTTTTGTTAAATTAGATCGATTTTCAAACCCCAAAATTTAAAATATATTTACATTTTACCCATTATCTTATGTACCTATACATTATTTGTATATTGTAAAACATTTGCTGCATTTGTATGGTTCATAGTTTATTTGCCAAAGTATTTATTACTATAAATAGGTATATATGTTGTAGTTATTAACTGTATATTATGTATATTTAATGTAAACTATATCATTTTTAAAATACAAACCAAAAATCTGAGGAATAATTATGTTTTCCATGTATTCTACAACATATTTATTAATCCGTTATATCTAACTAGCGTGACGTCATAAATCTCGCCCGGAGGCTGATCTTTTAATAGAAGGCACTGCCTCGATATTTTTTAACTTCGTTTAATAGAAAATGACATTCTGAATAGAATGACATATATGTAAATTTTTGAAATTTTCGATTTTAAAAAAGCAGACTTTACGTAGAGTATATTACAATATTAATAATCGACAATTTGACTCGAAATACCAAGTGTGTGGTACCAAATTATTCGTCAAAATGCCTTTTTTAAATATGCTAATAAGCCACCCTCGTTCCAATTTGAAAACATTGAGTAATGATATTAAAAATGTGATTTTGGCATCTTTTAATCGGCCTGGACAAGACGCTAAAAACATTAGAAGATCAGATCTATTTTTTCAAGGCTCCTTGATTAAAAATTAGTGTTTTTAACACAGCTCTTAACATTCTAGATTGAAATAAAAAAAAAAACATTGTTTTTAGCGAGGATTTCGAAAGTTGACGTAAGATATGTCATTCTATTGTGTCATTTTTTATCAAATAATGTAAAAAATATGCCGAATTTATGATTTAACGAATGTTTATTCAAGATCATGTTTTTGTCAATTTTACACGTTTTATTAATTTTTTTTTAATTTTAAGTTTTTTTAAAAATGTATACAGGGTGTTTCGAAAAATCTGGTCATTGATTAATTACGATCCTGCTTAAAGCGCTTGACGTAAAAAGCTGATTTTTGGAAAACGGATTGACTTTAGGGTGTAGAGGTTCGATAAGAAGGGATTTTTCGAAACTCGAATTCTAAGGGGCGAAACTATCCCTCAAATATTAAAATATTTTTTATTTAAAAACCGGTGAGTTTTTCGGAAAAACTCTTAAACGCGTTTATTTTATTTTGTTGTTTTACATATTTTAAGATTTTTTATAAATTTATACAGGGTATTTCATAAAATATAACCATTGAGTAATCACGATTCTGCTTAAACTGCTTGACGTTTAAAGCTGATTTTTGGCAAACGGATTGACTGTGGGGTGTAGAGGTTCAATAAGGAGGGGTTTCTCGAATCTCAAATTCCAAGAGGGTGAAAACGCCCCTCAAATATTACAATATTTGTTATTTAAAAAACGGTTAGTCTTTCGGAAAAACGCTTGAACAAGCATAATTTATTTGGTTTTTTTACATATTTTGAAATTTTTTAAAAAATCATACAGGGTGTTCCAAAAAGTTGGGTAATTTCTTAACCACGATTCTGCACGTAAAAAGCTTATTTTTGGCAAACAGATTTTTCGAAAGTCAAATTCCAACGAGATGAAACTACCCCTCAAATATTACAAAGTTATATAATAATATCGCCGTATTCTTTTTTCTCATGCTGACATAAATGTGAGAAAATTTTATCCAGTTTGTATGTTAATGGAAATTCTTGCTTTGCTTTATCATCACCATTACAAAAAATTAATTCGAGGCGAACGAAGTCGCTGGTACACGCTAGTAGTATATAATACAGTATAAGAAGTAGCATTTATAGACAGAAAGTAATATATATTCGCAGTTCTGAAAACGGAGCTTTAAGCTTGCGTTAAGAACTGCGACTGTCGCCAACGACACATCAAAAGAACCAATCAAATTTGTACAAAATTCAAACAGCTGTCAATTTTAAATTTAGTACAGTTCCCATTGGTTGTTTGAAATGTCAGACTGTGTCGCCCGCGACACGACGTCGTTCTGAGAACGGGGCTTAATTCTGTGTCTTCTTTGTCACTCTTATTAAACTTAATAGATAAAGCTATATTCTAACCTCAAATTTGATCAAAAAATAAATAATTTTATTGAAGTGATCTCAAATATTTAGCCGACGATCTGTACTTAAAACGTTAAAACATTAGTTGCAGAACATATTAATATCAAATTTACATCAATAACTTCAAGATTGGCGATATACATACCTAAAAGGTACCATCCCCTTTATCTCTTGTTTACAATTACCCCACTTGACTCCATCTTAATTCACTCTAATTAACGCTTTTTTGAGTAACTTTTTTTATTTCTGTTTTTTAGATGGAAGATCTTCTTAAAGTAAAGCATATAAACAGAATATTGCTTGATAATATATCAAGATATTTTACTTTGCACGATGAAGATGGGCTGAATGATTCTAGCATTTCAAATTCAAGTATTATTACCAATGGAATTACAAATATCTATCCAGTTAACGGTTACACATTCAAATCGCCTCTGAAGAACCAAATACCAAATGGACTAACGCCATCATCTGCAATAGATATATTTGAATTATTAAGTACTTATTCTCCGAGACCTGTTACTAAGGAAATTTTTAAGTTTTGCCGGGATGGAGAACCAGCAATACGAATATGCTCATGGAACCTGCACGAATTGTCTGTTCAAAAAGCTTTAAATTTGGGAGTGAGAGAGGTCATATGTAGAACAATATTAGAAAATGGGTAAGATTTCATTTAAGTTATTATTTAGTTCTTTGTTTAATTTTATATTTTTTAATAACTAATAATAATAATGTATAAAAACCTCTACCGCTGATGTTTTCTCTATTTAGTTAAACAATAGTGTTGTAGTTAGTAGTGGGAACTATCGAATGAATACTATCGAAACATTCGATAGTTGCAATTCATTCGAATAATTCGATAGCTAGTAAGAAAACATTCGTTGAAAACTATTCGAATAAAAATTATCGAATAGATGCGTCATCTGTCTTGAAATATTGTAGTCTAGTAATTCGGCAGCAAAAACCATTCATTTATAAAATTCATTCATTTATGAAATTCATTTATTCGTCAGGATCGATTATAATAAAATATTCACTGGATTTTAGTTGTCGCCCGGCTATGTAGGTTTTTTTTTCCGAGAGACCCGACAGCGGTCGGTGGCAATGCTATGAAAGAAGGCGGCATCTTTGATTTTTTGCGGAGTCAAATAAAGATAAGGACACATTATTTTTTTTATTGAGGTGCTAGTATTTACACAGAAAATACATTATGAAGGGCGCTGTTGCCATATATTGGTATTAGTTGATATTAAAGGATATTAGCAAAGAATATTATTGTTTGGCTTTAGTTAGTTAGGGATAGTATGTCTATATATTTTGCATTTTTTTTTATTAATATTCTGTTGTTACACTGAAATAATACTTGTTATTTTGGATGTAAATGATTTTTAATGTTTTTAAGCAATGACTGGTTTAATAAATAATAATAACAGTAATAATTTGTTATACCTATTAACAACAAAATTTAAAATCATTTAATATAAACGTTTTTTAAGTAGTGGCAAAATATAAACAACAAATTAGATGTCAAAATTATTTATATTAGATCCTATTTAAAAATATATAGTCTCTAATTTTTTTTGTGGCAACGTTGCTTTATTAAATAATAATAATTACAGAACTAATTTGTTATATTAACAACAAATTTTAAAATCATGAAATATAAATATTTATTAATTTTCTAAGCATGCAGTGTAATGGAAGGAAAATATAAATAAAAAATTAGAAATCAAAATTATTTATATTAGGTACTTTATATTACTATTTAAAAGTAATATTTACTTTTACTGGCATTTACTTTAAAAAATAAATAAAATATTTCTTCGCAAAAAACTACATGTAAGAGAATTAGCATAAACAAAATACAAACATCGTTAACTTTTTTTTAAATTGGCAAGTGTAAAACTTTCAATTTAATTTTCAGACCCCATAGTTTGAGTTCGATAACCCCCCATTTACTTAACCACATTACTTAAATATGATTATTAAGTTCAACTAATTCATATTATTAAAATATCTAAAATACAAATATGTATTTTTAAAATTAATTGTAAGTTCATCTCATCTCTCTTAAAAATTGCTACTTCTCAAAATATCCCATTAAAAAATAGACCATATACCATATAAAATTAAATAATTGAAAGATCGGGCCACGGAAAATCACACAAATTTTCGGAAAAATTTTGACCACCTGCACACGGCACACAAACGTCAATTAAAAAAAAACTTCTATTTTAGTATTTTAAATATTTTAATAAACGCAAAAATAGCACAGTATTTATACGGCGAAGTTATAAAAATTTAGAAGAACTAATAATGCACTGACGCACACAAAAATCAAACGAATACTAAATTTCATTTATCAAAAGCATTCGATAGTCGTGGCTCAACGATAACCATTTAGTCGCAAAAAACTACATGTAAGAGAATTAGCATAAACAAAATACAAACATCGTTAACTTTTTTTTTAATTGGCACGTGTAAAACTTTCAATTTAATTTTCTCACCCACCCCATAGTTTGAGTTCGATAACCCCATTTACTTAACCACATTACTTAAATATGATTATTAAGTTCAACTAATTCATATTATTAAAACATCTAAAATACAAATATGTATTTTTAAAATTAATTGTAAGTTCATCTCATCTTTCTTAAAAATTACTACTTCTCAAAATTTCCGAATAAAAAAACAGACCATATACCGTATAAAATTAAATAATTGAAAGATCGGGCTTCAGAAAATCACACAAATTTTCGGAAAAATTTTGACCACCCGCACACGCACACAATCGTCAATTAAAAAAACTACTATTTTAGTATTTTAAATATTTTAATAAACGCAAAAATAGCACAATATTTATACGGCGAAGTTATAAAAATTTAGAAGAACTAATAATGCACTGACGCACACAAAAATCAAACGAATACTAAATTTCATTTATCAAAAGCATTCGATAGTCGTGGCTCAACGATAACCATTTAGTCGCACGGCGAGGTTGTCACATAATATGCTTTAGTATACAAATGAATATATGATTTTATTCGAATAAAACCATTCGATAGTTGAAATCATTCATTCAGTAACCATTCGATAGTTCCCATCGCTAGTTGTATTGTTGTAGCTAGTATTGTTTTATTAGGAGTAAAAATGATACTTATTATGGCGAGGCTGTACGTTTGACAAATAAGTTTTTAAACAATTTTAAACGTTCCAAATAATTAAAAATATTAATACCTTAGATTAAAAAGTAGTAATACCTTGTAAGTACTTATACAGGGTGGTCCGAACTGAATTCCGGAAACTTCGGCAGCATATTGTGCAGATAAAAATAAGAAAAAAAGTTCGTATAAACTTATGTCCTAAAATGCTTAGTTTAGGAGATACAGGGTGTAGAAATTTCATTTTTATTTCGATTTTTTTCAAATAATTTCTGAAGTAACGTCAATATTTGGATGAAAATTTGATTTTGATGTCAATATGACTCCTATTCATAGGGGGCGCCACCTATATGTGTTTTAACTGGTCTGAAGAGTAATAACTTTTCATCCATACCTATATAAAACTACTGAGTGAAAAAATATACATTTCCGTGACTTGTTACGTAAAAAATGTCTCTTGGTAAAAATCGCTACGAGCAACGGTTCTGAAGATATTTAGAATGGAAATAATCAATACATGTCATTATTGACAAAAAGATAAACACGTTGAGTAGATAGTTATTTGACTGAAATAATAAATTTGGGAAATTTTTATTTTTTTTAAATTTATCATTAAATTTTCTGCGAAAAAATGACGATAAAACAGTTTCTGTTGAACTTTTGGCACAAAAATATTTCAAATTTATGATTTCAGTCTAATAACTATTTAGTCAACATGTTTAGTTTATGTCAATGATGACAGGTATTGATAATTTCGATTCTAAATATCTCGAGAACGATTACTCGTAGCAAATTTTTCCAAGAGAGCCTTTTTACGTAAAAAGCGTCATAAATGTATATTTTTTTACTCAGTAGTTTTATACAGGTACGGAAGAAAAGTTATTACTCTTCAAAGCAGTTAAGAAATATGTAGGTAGCGCCCTCTACAAGTAGGAGCCATATTGACATCAAATTTCTCATGTCAAAAAACTACCAGACACCAATTTTCATCCAAATATTGACGTTACTTCAGAAATTATTTGGAAAAAATTGAAATAAAAATGAAACTTCTACACCTTCTACATCTCTGAAACTAAGCATTTTAGGACATATATTTATACGAACTTTTTTACTTATTTTTATCTGCAGAATATGCTACCGAAGTTTCTGGAATACAGTTCGGACCACCCCGTATATCGAGAAACTATGGTTACGCTCGTTGAATTTGACACTTAGTTTAATAATATATTTTCGTACTTTTATGCTTAGGCTTGGCCATAGATAAATGCAACAAGTTTAGATTGGAAAGCCCGTAAAAATTTTGGGTCGCGAAATTATTTTGGGTCGCGACCGTTATACGCGATTTGGCGCTGCTATAGCGGTCGCTAAGAACAACGACAAACAAAAACAGAAATAATTTTCTCTTGTCAAAGTCAGAGTCTTCAAAAATCATAATAATCTTTCAAAATCTAAACCGCTCTCATTAAAGAAATTCCGAAAAGTGTTTATAGCGTCCATTTTCAAAGTAATAATTGCTATCTTGTGAGTTTAATTCAAGTTTTATTTACTCCAACCGGTGATAATTGTGAAAAAGTGGCATTAAAAACTTAAAAAGCTGTGCTGTGAACTGTGAACTGCAAAAACCATCGTGGATTGTGGCATAACGTCGGTTTCCAATGTTTCATAGGTATTTCATACATGCGTCCTTATATAAAATAAAGTTTCTTGTATGCAACACACTGTCTTTTATTTATAAAATTAAACGAAAATAATAAATTTGAATAAACAATATCTGGCGATATACTTCCGGAAAAAGCCGAACCGCTCCGAAATTTTCAAAAGTTTTGGGTCACGACCGTTGCAAGAATAGCGCCAAATAGTGTTTACATTGTCCTTATGGGCACTTTCCAATCTAAACTTGTTTCATTTATCTATAGGCTTGGCTTAAGCTTGATTTTCATGCATCCGTTGTCCGACGATACGTTGATTCGATATTAATTTTATTGGTAGAATTTAAAGACTTTGATTGGTTAGAAAATAACGCAGTTTTTAAATTTAATATATATATACGTTGGTGTCATTTTATATTTTTGTTTCCATAACGATTTTGCTATTTTACTTATATTTTTAATAAGGTTAGATTAAATTTGTCAAAAAAGTGTCAAAACGTCCGTTATCGTATGAAGGGGCCGTTGATGGGCTGAAGTAAAATATTTACGGATGAAAAGTGGCGCGAAAACGCTATGACCAATCAGAGCACCGTCGGACCAACGTATCAACGTATAACGCATGCATGAAAATCAAGCTTTAGGCGTAAAAGTGCTTTACTTTTATGCCTATGTTTTAAAATTACTTTTTTGTATTGTTAATCACGTCGTAAAAATTATTACTTTTGTGACGTTTCAAAAAAAATATTTTTATTTAAACAGATAAAGCTGTTAAGTAACCCGCTATACTGTTTGTCCGCTAGAGGGCATCGAACTTAAAACAAACGCATTTTTTCAGATGTTTTAAGAACCGTTATTCCGATTTGAATGAGATTTTGGTTTTCACAAAAATCAAGAAAAAGTACGGAAAGGGTGAAAACTACCCCCACCCCTACATCAATTTTAGTATAAATATTTTCCAACTCAACCGACGACAGATTTTCTTCTCGTAAAATGATTCTTCTAGTATTTACTACATTTTTTATCTGCCGTAGAAAAACGCTACATCGCATAGTTTTTGAGAAAAACATTTTTGGAGAATTTATTTTTCCAAAGTTGACCTACAAAATATAAAATAAGTTAATTGCTTATAATTTACCTTTATATAAAAGTGCTTCGTTTGTCCGTTAGAGGGCATTTTGATTATTTATTATTTAATCGCTCATTTTGATTCCAAAAATACGTAGTAGTTCTATGTCCACGGAACACCCTGTATATAGTTATACTAAATGTACCTATGTCTATGCTCTATGTCTATACCTTTGTGGCGGGCTCATTTCTTGAAAAGACTTCTGGATTTTTGCCATTAGAAGAAAATCTACAAAATGAAATAGTTATTTTTTGTAAATGTTGGAGGCAGATGCCGAATTCGGCCTATGTCCGAAATAGTTAGACATATGGCGATTATAATTAAATATACCTACCTATATCCACAAAGTTACGCGGAGAGTAAAAAAAGAGTTTTGATTGCATTAGTTTCAACTTCTATGCGGAGGGTGTTAATCTTTTGTTGTTATCTTATACCAAAAAAAAGATTAACCCCCTCCGCAAAGAAGTTATATAAAGACTATTTATAACCACGAAGTTGCACGCATCTGGCAAGTTTAGTATGGAACTTTGAATAAGAAGACTAAGGAAGGAGCATAATGCTATCCATGTATTCATGCATGGTGGGCGGAAAGGGACTCTAGGGTGGGGATCCTTGACAGTTCTGTTTGACGATTCATTTGACACATTTGAATTTGATTTGATATTTTGTGGATTTGTCAGTCTTTACGGAGCTTATTTTATGTTATTTATTATTTATTCTACTACTGATAGTTGTATAAAGGTAGTTAATCTAGATAGAAATCGTGGCAGAACTTAAATTAACAGTGACACTATCGCGATTTATCGAAAAAGACTCTAAATAAAAAAGTAGGTTGTATAGCGTGCGGTAGATCTCGCCAAAAATCGAGTGAAATAATGGAACAACTTTTCGCTAGTAAGTGACTATATAATATACATATGTGTAGTAAACCGATCATTTATGAAATTCACTTAAATTAACTAATTCTATATTTTTTCTTGCATTTTTGCTTTTATTTACTACTTGTCAAAGATTAGATGTCAAAGAATCATAGTCAAAGAATTTAGATACGTCAATTTGACTTACCTGCTTCAGTAGCGTATTGGATGTTTATGGTTATAAATAATTATTATAACTTATATATTTTTATTAGAATTGTATATTTTTGTAACAATTTTAAACTCATCATTTATTCACAACGTAAAATAAAAAAAAATATTGAGTCTACCCCATGTCTACCCTACATCATAGTTTTACATTTTTTAAACAAAATTATAACGGCACTGATAAACCGGAATTTAAGTCGGCCATATTTGAGGCCTATCGGGGTGGACCTAAGATTTTGGATATGCTCCTTCCTTAGTCTTCTTATTCAAAGGTATGGACAAATCGCCATATGTGTAATTATTTCGGACATAGGCCGAATTCGGCATCTGCCTCCAACATTAACACTACTGCGGTGATCTAACGGAGACCACTTTGTCAGTGATATTTTACTAATAAAAGAAATTTGCCTAACGGGCAAAAAAAACTTTTTGGTTTTATCTCATTAAGCAATAATTGAAATCACTTAGTAATTGTTAGTTTGAAGTTTGACTTCATATCATGTAATTTTAACAGAACGTTAAAGGTTTATAATAGCCCTATCTGTTAAAAAACTAAAGTGTACGATTATAGTTGTATTTAGATATTTTATTTTTTTTCTTTGTGTTATTTTTTGCCTTCTGACAACGCAACGGGAGGATAAAATATCACTGATAAATTGGTCTCCGTTGGATCAACACAATAGTGTTTACAAAAAATAACTATTTTATTCTGTAGATTTTCTTCTAGTTGCGAAAAAAAATCAGTTTATACTAGTTTTTTTTTTCTAGTATTTCTTTACTCGCTCTTCAAGATATTAGAGATGCTGCAGCTTTAAAAATAATATGCGATGAGTTAAATAAACCATCGCTGCGGAGAGTTGAAGAGTGGAAAGAAAGTAGTCTTAACTGGAATTTTTGTATGATAGATGCACAGGACAGCACATTAGGATTTCTGTATGATTCCGGCGGTGGTGAGTACGTTAGTTTAGCTTACATTTTAACGCAAAATTTTAAATATAGTCCGGCAGCCGCTGGGGTAAACCCAAAATTTTGGGATTAAGTTTTTTTAAAAGCGGATTTATCATCTATAGGTGTCCTACTTTTGATATCCGAGTGATGACAAAGTGGCATCTTTGGGGAAATGAAGATTCATTATCAATTATGTGAAATCGAGTGTTATTCGAGTTATTATGTGTGTTTTTAACGTGAAAAAATGGTGTTTTACATTGATTTATTTAATAATGTAGGTTTTTTGTAGGTATAAGTGATAACGAAACTTTGAATAAGAAGACTAAGGAAGGAGCATAATGCTATCCATGTATTCATGTATGGTGGGCGGAAAAAGCTCTCTAGGGTGGGGATCCTTGACAGTTCTGTTTGACGATTCATTTTACACATTGTAGTAAATCTAGATGGAAATTGTGGCAGAATTTAAATTAACAGTGACACTATCGCGATTTATCGAAAAAGACTCTAAAATAGTTGGTTGTGTAGCGTGCGGTAGATCTCGGCAAAAATTGAGTGAAATAATGGAACAACTTTTCGCTAGTAAGTGACTATATAATATACATACGTGTAGTAAACCGATCATTTTATGAAATTCACTTAAATTAACTAAATTATATATTTTGCATTTAGCTTTTATTGTGTCAAAGATTAGATGTCAAAGAATTTAGATACGTTAATTTGAGCTTACCTGCTTCAGTAGCGCATCGGATGTTTGTGTTAATAAATACTTATTATAACTTATCTATTTTATTAGAATTATATATTTTAAAACAATTTTAATAACTGCAACATTTATTCACAACTAAAATAAAACAACAAATTATTGAGTCTACCCCACGTCTACCCTACATCATAGTTTTACATTTTTTAAATAAAATTAGAACGACACTGATAAACCGGAATTTAAGTCGGCCATATTTGAGGCCCATCGCGGTGTACGTAAGATTTTTGATATGCTCCTTCCTTAGTCTTCTTATTCAAAGTAACGAAACATCTTATATACAGGGTGATTAAAAAAACATAATATTTTCACGTTAATTGAAGGTAAAGCGAAAAATTAAATTCTTGCATTTTGTATACTTTGTAGGTATATATACCTAATGTACGAGTAAAAAAATAACAAACACATTTTTTATACAGGGTATTTCAAAAATAATATTACTTTCGTTGAAGGACTAGGGTAAATATTTTAAACACGCATATCATAAAATATTAAAGTTTAACAGTATCAACCTCAGAATCAACTTCTTTATCGGAAATCACAACATCTTTATTATCATTAGCCGGTACAGCGTACAGCGGGGGTCAGTTCGTTGCAACAATGTTGGTTCCCGTGGCACATACAAAACATTGTGCAAGGCAATCTAGCACCTTTACACCCACATCTTTTTGTGCTACACGGACTGGCACTTGAACAAGAGCAACGAATCAATTGTAATATATCGGAAGGTGCCACCTCGGCCCTTTCTGGTAGGGTGATTGATAACAAATGCTTTCCGTTGGCATCTTTGAAAAATCCATAGTCCGTCGGTTGTAGGTTTGGCGGATTAGGTTCTAACAAACAGTTTTCTTTGAAGATAAAGATTGGCACTTCTGAACGTCGCTGCATTTTCTTACTTGAAGTTCCAGCCTTGTTAATAGCATCGGGGATAAGGTCCTTTTTAAATGTGTTTTGAATGTGTACGTCGAAACGAAACCTCTGTGACATAGCAGACGAAAATCCTTGTCCGTAGTGATCTTCTCTTCCAATTCTTCACATTTACCATCTTGATACACTTTGTTATACTTTATAATAGTTTTTATGCGTTGTGCACCAGCAACTAAAAGTTTTTCACTTTTCTTCTGACAGGAAAACTTCTAGTCAAAAAAACACTTTTCACTCATATTTGTCTCAACTAGGTATTATTGTTACAATCAAATTTTAATCTGAAAGACAAATCACTGTTATATTTTTGCCTTGGGATAGACCTTTAAGTCTAAATTATAAGCTCTGCAGTTTGCAGTCAGTAGTCGCAGTCGGCCGTTCCATCAGATTTAAAATTTCATGAACTTGGAACGGCCAACTACAGCTTGCAACTGCGAATTGCAGTTGTAACGTTTTTAGTTCGTTACATGTCTTTTTTATATATAATATATGATGTCTGGCCTATCATCACCGGATTCCCTCTCGTTCAGGCCGGATAGATTATTTGACGCGTAATTTTTACGTTCCCTGGTCGCCAACCCTGTGATCGTTCGACACAACCCTGTTACTATTCTGTGAAGGCGCGCGCTGTCAACATCGCTTCTGTCAACTCTCCGTGCTTAACCTCACTTTGTTTTGACGCTCTGTTTTATCCCAGCTTTTAGAAATGGTGATTATTTAAATCTTGCTGTATAATCTGAATCAGCTGCTATTTCAAAGCAACAGATTTACGGATGTCCCAACTTGTATTTGTATTTGGCTGGCACGTTGGCGTCCCTTTGCTTTTGTCCTCCAGAATGTCACTTGGAAGAAAGGACAGATTGTTTATTATTTATTGAGCCCTCGGAAGTATTTCGAGGGTCTTACGGACGGACATTGTCTTACGGACAAGTATCCAAGGTATGGACTATTTTTCAAGGTCCTAGTAGTGTTCTCTTGTGCCACTATCTTATGGACGGATGTCCCATGGACAAGTGTCCCCAGTAGGATTGATTTGTCTTACACATAGAGTGCCCCAGCGTGGATGTGGCTTGAGCCCCGTGCTGCTTCACCCCCATTTCTAAGCCTGGATCGCCGACAGACAGTACAGAGATGCTAGACCTCCTCGCGCTGCTACTGTTTGAAGCAGGGTTACATAAAAGAACAGCTAAGTGTATATTTAAGTTCTAGTTTTGCATTTAACATCTAAAATGTTTTCAGTCTTAAACAGTAACGTACATTTTAAACAATAGCGTACAGACTATATTTAGTGGTTAGATTATTAAGGATATTTATGTCGATGCAGTAGTAAAAGTGTGATTTAGATTTTAGATTTCATAATATCACGCATTGTAATAGTATTACTTTCTATAGACATTATTATTACGCTATACTAACAGATGAATAACGAGATAGATTCTAGAATCTACAGGTTGCAACACATCTGATTTAACACCGTATAAATTTAACAATTTAAATAAAGTAATGCTACTTTTCCTATATTTTCTATAACGTTACACGCATTGTATTTTCTTTATAGTCTTTTCATAGAACGTATTTAATATTATTTACATATATAGTTTTACTCAACAAGTAACCACTATAATAATTATATTAATTGTACAATGCTATTTACCATCAGAATTCATCACGAATAAATATAGTCATTAGTTTTAAGTATTATACAACTGTGTTTTCTTTCTCTGTACATGCCTGGCGCCCAATATCTATATATCTTTTGTTTATTACTATTGATTAATTTTCTCTCTAGTGAAATACCTTATCCACGACTGCTCTCCGATGAAAAGCTGCCGTTCGCAGTGGTAGTTGTTTAAAAAACGCTACACAGTGCTTATAAATTATTAGGCTTTAATAACTGATATCGGCAAACTAAGCATTCCTTCATCACCCCGAAAAAGATATATTTAGTATAACATAATTATATAGCCTTAATGAAAATGTGTATGATATTTATATTATTTCTTTTTACTGATACTTTATGTTACAAAGTAACAGTATCAGCAACTGTAATGAAAAGTCCTATTTCTATGCTAACATTTTTGTTGAGGCTTCATTAACTCATTGTTATTGCTTTATTCTAAATTATTAAAAATGTGTGTTAAACATTTCACAGAATCACTGCAATGGAAACACAAAATCATCGGTAATTCAAAGACCTTCGAACCTTAACCTAAAATTATTAATACCAATAATAATTGTTGAAGTGAATTTAAGATACAAAGTTCTAAAAACAAGAAAAATATTAATCGGAAAAATGTAGTGGTATAACTTTTATTTTTCTTTAAATCACCCTGTATATTGGAAATAATAATGATTATTATTTTTATGCTAGTTAAACATTTCACAGAATCACTGAAATGGAAACACAAAATCATCGGTAATTCAAAGACCTTCGAACCTTAACCTAAAATTATTAATACCAATGTTGAAGTGAATTTAAGATACAAAGTTCTAAAAACAAGAAAAATATTAATCGGAAAAATGTAGTGGTATAACTTTTATTTTTCTTTAAATCACCCTGTATATTGGAAATAATAATAATTGTTATTTTTATGCTATAAAGGTAAGCCTATATTTAGTATAAATACAATAAATTGACCAACCCACACAAAAATTAAGGCCTGAAGCTTAAAAACCTATCGAATACATTTTTATGTCTTATATTTTGGGACACTCTGTATATCTGGATTTCCCCAAGGGTGACAGCTTGTCATCGGCCTGATATGGAAAATAGACATATAGATCTATAATAATCTGGCATAAAAAATTATTGATTCATCTCTTTTATCCTCAGTTAGAAATAAAGATTTATTTTTTATAATGTAAAATTGTTTTAATATTATTAGGTGAAATAGTAAAAATATATTTTACGTCGAGGCAGCATAATTATGTTTTTTTTAAATTTAATCCATTAATTATTTTTTTAAATTTTTTAATACACCTTACCTCGGCAACATAAAGTTGAAAATACAGTTTGTGTTTCGATCCTTGGTAGTTACGTTATCATTTTCGACGTCATGTTGGTTTTCACGTATTTCCTAAATTGGTCTGTGATTTGTCAGCTGTTAATACAAAGATTTTGTTCGTCTTTTTCTATTCGTGCACACTAGACAAGGATACACGATCTTTTTACAACATTAGTAATGATGTATATGTAGTATATAAAAAGACAAAATAAAATAATGTTACGATCTAGGAAGTAAAATTGACTTAAGTTTATGAACGACGAAAACTTTCCCAAATTCCAATAAAGTGATAATCAGTGACGTAACAGCTAAG